GCGTCTTCCATGAGCCACACACCGCATGTGTATCTTACCTTGGTTAATCTCAGGTACTCCACCTGACAACCCGCAGTGTAACATTCCCATTCTTCAGATGAGAAAACTGAGGCTTTTGAAGGTCAGCTAAGGAGTGGCCAGCCCATGGCAGAGCCCGGGTTAGAACCTCAGCCCCAGGGCTTCCCTGAAGCGTCACTCTGCACTCAGTAAACCAGCAGCCCTGTTAATCAGCTTATGATTACTCTTTTTACAAGCTATTCTTCTAGGAGGTGGTTTTCAAGCAAGCTGTGCTGTCGCGGACCGAGACCGAGATGGAATTGCACTGTCAAGCAGTGCTGCTGTCCCCCTTTAGAAAGTGCTCACCCACCAAGGAGCCACAAACTCTGCCTTGACCACAGAGACTTGCAGCCAAGCTGCTTGGGACCCCCCGTTACTCATTTCAGCACTCAGTTAAAAAAAAAAACCCACTGCCATCAAGTGGATTCCAACTCATAGCAACCCCCACTGGGTTTCCAAGAGGGTAAATCTTTATGAGAGTAGTTGCCTAGTCTTCCTTCTGTGGAGTGGCTGGTGGGTTTGCACCACCAACCTTCTGGTTAGCAGTCAGATGCCTTAGGCACTGTGCCACCAGAGCCCCTTCAATACTCAGTTACACAGGTTTTGATGCTAGTCATGTATCTCTGTGTCATCACACAGTGAAAGCCACGTGTTCAATCTTCCTTGCCTGCTTATCCAAAAGGGAACTATTGGTGGGTGGCTAGGCAACTAGACTAATTGCCCCTGTTATGCATCCCCAAAACATATCTTAACTAGAGGCAGGCTTACTGTCTTCAGAGTAAGACAGCGTTCAGAGCAGCCATGATAGCTCTTGGGGATCACACTCAAAGCAGCCCCCTGGATTTGGAGACAGTAATTATACCTGATGACAATTCTCCCACCTCCTAAACAAACCTTTGATTCATGAATGTGCACTTTTAGGCATCGCCGTAGAATAAATTAGACTAGACAATTACGTGTAATTAAGAGGAATATGTATATACTATGCTGCAAAGATGAGGCGTGTGGTGCTGAAGTCAAGCAAGTGTGTGTCAGCGTGAGGGCCCAGGAAGGCAGCGTGAAATACAATTAATGTTTGTCTGACTTAATGGTGGTTTACATTGCTGTTTTTCATTATCACAATATCTCAAGCAATATAAACAGTCTGTCTCTAATGCAATCGCATTTCTACTGACAAGATGGCTCGGGTCTAAGTGAAAATTCAGGCAGAATTAACTGCAAGTTTGGATGGCGAGGGGTGACACTAGAATGTGTATTTTAAACCCCCTGCAAAACCGTCCCCACTCGGGAGCCACACAGCCCCTCAGGGAGGCTCTGCAGCCTTCTTGGCTCTTATTGGTGGAGGTTTTGGCCAAACTTGTGCACGTTATTAAAGCCACTTGTGCGCCAGTTCTGGGCCTCCAATTCCCAAGCACCACCACCCCCTCCCGCCTTTTTATGTTCCTCCTTTACAGGCCAATTTGTCTGAGCCACGTTAAAGCTTGACTTTTACAACCTTTGTAAAATCCCATCTACTCCAACCCAAATTCAGCCAGAAGTACCTAGACAATTGGATTGAGCTTCCGCCTCTGGTGGAAATAAAGAAACACAATACAGAGTGATTCCTTCTTGCTGGTGCATATGCGTAAGGAAAAAAAAAAAAAAAAGATAACTATGGCTTTGTAGAGCAGATAGAACCAGAGGCCATCCTGCGTCAAGGAACTCGCAGAGGGAAGAAGCCAGGCTTACAGGTGTCAAGACAAAGGTCTCCGAGAGGTTAAACCAACAATGGGGGAAGCTTTGGGGTGCGTCTTGTCCGGACAAGCTGGAAAGGCAGGTTATCCAGCCAGGAGGTCATCATCACAGAGAGATTCATCAGGAAGGGACAAACAAGTGTGGCTGGGGGTGGGTAGGGGTTGGAGAACCAGGAGGCAGGGAGGGTCCCAGGAATTCCACAAAGACCCCAGCTAGACTGGAGTACGTCTGAGGCCTCTTATGTCTCCCGAGTGGGGCCTGAGTCCTCACCTCCTGGAAGGAACCTGGAGAACTGAGTCAAAGGCATTGGGCACAGAGGACTATGGACTTTGCTGTGAATTGTGGGAAACCAGCGCGGCCAGAGGGCACTTTGTAGACCTTCCAATCCCCATGAGTGTCTGAGCTGGTGCGTTAAGTCCTGACCGTACCTGCCTACAATGAATGCACACACACACTGATCTGTCCCTCCTCTGTCAGGTAGGATAAGGGACAAATATCACCATGTTTGGTCTTTGAACAGCAGCCACAGAAAGAAAAAATCCAGTCACTGTGTAACACCGATTTGGCCCAGCCCACACTCCCCACATGCAAGGTTGTGAGTACTCGCTGCATCACCATGATTGTGCCTTCCTGATGAGGATCAAGGGATGGAGCAGAAAATTGTGGGCAGGGCTCATTTGAGGAAGAGAAGGCCATGTTCTTGAGGCCCTGAAAGAAGAGAGTGAGCAGTCATGCAATGGTTTTTAAAAGCGTTTGCAGCAGACACCTCCTCATCCCCCAGAAATAGTCTAGAAAAGTACCCAACATGCAAAGCAGGTAATATCCCACCTCGGGGCCTCCCTGCCCCACCCCAGGCCCCTGAGGCACCCCCACAGGTCCAGTTAGAAAATCGCTGTTGCAATGGGGTACACATCCCAAAGCTAGACACGCCCCCAGATGGAATCTCATTCTCCAGCTTTGTGACCCCGGGCAAGCTCCTTTTCTGAGCATCAGTTTTCTGGAAAGATCCTTGAAATCTCATGGAAACACTCAGCAACGGACCAAAGAACCTACTAAAGCTTCGGTGTTCAGTATGGTCACCCTTAGCCACATGTCTCCATTGAGAGGTGCTGTCACTGCAAAACGTACTCAGGTTTCAAAGATTTGTGAAAAAAGAATGTAAGTGGAAGTGTTTTGGATATAGCAGGTTAAATAAAATATAGCATTAAAATTAATTCACCTGATTCTTTTTACATCTTAATGTGGCCACTAGAAATTTTTAGTTATGTGTATGGTTCACCTGATGCTTCTACCGGGCAGGGCTATACCAGAGGCTCTGCACAAATGCATGTCTCTCTGGAGAGATGAGGCAGAGAGGGGTCCCCGTTATTTTTGATACTTGATGGTGAAGAAGTAAACCTAACATTCTGTTTCAAGATGGAAGACACCAAAGACCAGCAGTTTCACCGGTGCCAAAGGTGGGGCCTGGGACCTGATGAGGGGAAAAGAAAGTTCATAGTTTTTCTAATATTTAGACTGTAATGATGCAAACGTTACTGTGCTTAGCTGCTAACCAAAAGGCTGGAGGTTCCGGTCCCCCCAGTGGTCCTCTGAAGAAAGGTCTGGCAATCAACTTCCAAGATATCAGCAACTGAAAACCATATGGAGCACAGTTCTGCTTGACACAGGAGTCGGAATCAACTATACAGCAACTGGTTTGGTTTGGGTTTATGAGGGGGCTAAATTATAAGGAGCCCTGTGGTGCCATGGTTTAAGCGTTAGGCTGCTAACTGAGAGAATAGCAGTTAGAACCCACCAACCACTCCTTGCTCTTCAGGAAAAAGATGCGGCAGCCTGCTTCCCTAAAGATGCATGGTCTTGGAAACCCTATGGAGTCGATTCTGACTCATAGTGACCCTACAGGACAGGGTAGAACTGCCCCCACAGGATTTCCAAGGCGGTTAGTCTTTATAGAAGCAGAATGCCTCATCATCTTTGTCCGGAGGAGCAGCTGGTGGATTTGAACTGCCAGCCTTGTGATTAGCAGCCAAATGTCTTAACCACTGCACCACCAGAGTGCCTTACATCAGAGAAAGGAGGTACTTAATTTGGAAGGAATAATAGCCTAACACGTAAGAGCACAACTCTGAAGCCAGGATTGCTGGTTTCAAATCATGAGTCCACAACGTAAAACTTTGGGCCAGTTAGGTACCTCTCTGTGTTTGTTTCCACAATTGTAGAATGGGTACAATAATAACAATACCAACTGTGTAGAATTATTATTAATTTAAATAAGTTACTATTGCCTACAAGGAGCCCTGGTGGTATAGCGGTGAAGCACTTGGCTACTAGGCGAAAAGTAGGTGGAACCGGCCAACCCTCTGGGGAGAAAGAACGAGCAGTCTGCTTGCCTAAGATTTACAGCCTCCGAAACCCTCCCGGGCAGTTCTACTCTGTCCTCTAGGGGCGCTAAGCGTTGGAGTGGATCCCACCGCAGCAGGTTTGGGTTTGGGTTTGGGTTATTATCTGCAAGCACACTTTGCATCATTTTCCGCAGCTGCTAGTTGCTTCTGAGCTTGCTCTTTGGCCCCCTCTCAGCCCGGTCCCCTTCCAATCTCTTCAGCGGCGCCGGGGACAACGGAATCCGCGGTAGACAGCACCACCTTGAGTCGAATTCCTCTACTTTGGAGGACGCCGGTTTCTTCTTTCTTTGATACTCGGGCCATTTCTGGGCAAGGGCTGCTATTTTCACTTGAGTTCAAGTTAATTCCGTGGGGAGCTTCCGGGGCGCATGGAAAAGTCCCTGGCGCGTCGGGAGCTCGCCCTACTATCTAGCAGCGGGCCCCGGCTCCAGCTGGCAAATGCGTGGAGTTAGAAGCGACCGCCTGGCTTTGAGCAAAGGCGGGCGGGTGTTTGCAGACGCAGGCGAGCCCCGGTGAAAGGATATAAAAGAAAACATTTATTAGCGTGTCGTTACGAGGGGGCTCTCGGGCCGGGGCGGTCGCACGCCCGGCGGAACACTTGGCTCCTTCCAGCTTGGAAGGAGAAAAGGAAAGCCAAAAAACTAAAAAATAAATAACAAAAAAAGGCAAGAAGCTCTTCGTTTGCAGCCAAGTGGACCTGGCCGGTGGCCCTCCTGACTTTATTACAATATTTGATTGATTTGAGATGCCCTCCGCCCCCCACCCCCGTTTGAGTGGCGCGCGCGCACACGCCACACACACACAGACACACACACACACACACACACACACACGCGGCTCGGGTTCGCGTCCCTCCCTTCTGCCCAGCTCCTGGGCGAATCCCACATCTGTTTCAACTCTGCGCCGAGGGCGAGCGGGAGCGAGTGTGTGCCGGCTGAGTGTGCGTCCGTGTGTCCCGGCGAGGGTGCGCGCCCGGCGCCGGGAGCGCGGTCGGCCGGGTCCAGGGGCATCCGGACGCCGAGAGCCGTGGGGACCCGGCGTGACCCCCAGCCGGGGTCGGACTTCGGGGCACAGGCGGTGCGCTGGGGCAGCAGAGCCGAGCGTCCCCGGGCCGAAGGTAAAGCGCCGCGCGGGCCCCGTCACCGGATCCTCGCCGCCCGCGGGCCCCGGCACCGATGCTCCCCGCCCGGCTCTCCCTCCCCGGCGCAGA